TACGTGTCTTTTTGTCTCTTTCTCGGTTTCTTACTCTTCCATTCTGTCCCCCTGTGACTCCTTAACATCCTTCCATCTTTCTCTCGCTCTGTTCTGTCTTACTCCTCATGATGAAAGACTCTAAGAATAGCGCTCTCTCTTTCTCAGTCTGCTGTGGCTCTGATAATCACTGCATCTTCTACAGCATGTAAACACCCGGTTTTCTCCGTTCTTGAACCAGCGATACGGCGCGGAGATCCGCATTCGTTCTGCTCACCGTGATTGCGATCATTCTGATTATCCTCCATAATGGATCATTTGGAATAATAGATGACTCCCGGAGTTTTATCAAAAGCATCGTTCGTCATTTCTGCGATAGCATGGCCTGAGGAGCAGTAATAAGCCATATCTTTAAAGTACTTCTCTAGTGGCGTTTCTTTATAAAGTCTTATGTTTTATCTGTAATGTACTGACAGAATTAGGCCAGAAATATACCCAAGAAACGTATGAACCCACGCACGACCAGTGATAATAAAAAGAAATGTCTCTTGAGCAGCAAGAATGATCAGAATGATTTCTGAAGGGTCATGTCACACTGAAGACTGGAGTAATGATGCTGAAAATTCAGCTTTGCTCACAGGAATAAATTACATTTTAAAATATATTCAAATTGAAAACAGTTATCTTAAATTGTAATAATATTTCACAATATTACTGTTTTTACTGTATTTTTAATCAAATAAATGCAGACTTGGCGAGCAAAAGAGACTTGCGCAAAAACAAAACAGGCTTTTGAATGGTAGTGTACATTTGATTAGTTACTTAAAAATAATGCATAATTGTAAATAGTTCTTCTTATGATAACTTTTATTTTAAAGGTGGGGTAAGCGATTTCTGGTAGCCAATGTTGACATTTGAAATCACCAAAACAAACACGCCCCTACCCCAAAAGGGTCTCGCCTCTATTTTGATAGCTCCGTCCCACACATACGTACGCAACCCAGGCAACAATTAGTTCTGTGAATCCGATATTTACACGGGTCCTACTTCTTGCCTTATTGCCTTAAGTAGGCCTGTCACAATAATCAATATATCGACTTATCGCGCAAAATATATGTACATGACCGCAATATATCGCACAACAAAAAGTTGTTATCGTGACAGGCCTAGACTTAAGCCTTCTTTTGTTCTGCAGAGGTTTTCCTCTTTTGTTTTTTTTTCCGCCATCTCTATCTTTCTGTCGCTCGGCTCGGCTAATGTCCGTCCCGTGCACTGAACGCTCTCCTCCACAACATGAGTAGACACGCCCCTTACTGCTGATTGGCTACAAGTTTGTTTTGCTATTCAGCCCGAATCAGTTTTCTAAAGCGTTTTTGAAAAATCTCTTACCCCACCTTTAATGGTTCAAATTCCTAAAAAGACATTCTGAAAGCTTTTGTAGTTTGCATTCAAGTGCTTGCATAAAATGTTTTGTGCCTTACTGTTTGCATTATTTCTTTGTCAAGAAAACATTGTTTGCATGAGATTTAAATTTATTTTTTTATTATATATATATTATTTGTATACTTTTTATATTTTGGGGTGAAGACGTGCACATTGAATAACAGACAGAGGGTGTTTGCTTAAGATTACTCTATGTATAAAGATTAAGATTATGATTAATAAGTAATTACATTATTATTAATATTTCAATAATCTCTTAATATATTTTTATATATTATATATTATATTTATATATTAATTATTAATATATTTAATAAATATTTAACTTTTTCATATTTAAAAATAATATTTAAAATTAATTATGCATTACTAATATATTAAATTAAGCACAAAATCCAGATGTAATCTGATATTGTTGTTTTTATCAAAGGACATACACATGAAATTCCTGGAATTATAAAATGACTCATGGTGAATTACTTTAATATATCAGTAATCCCAGTTTCTCTTTATAAAATAGTTATAATTAAAGCTGAAATACTGAAAATAGTTGTTCAAGTTCAAAAGGTGGATAAAAACTGGCTCAAATCATTTATGACATTTACTTGATAAAAGTATGCATTTAAATAAACTTGTTTAATCATGTCGTTTATTAAAAATAATCTGTGTAAGACTTTTTTCAATCAGTGCAAATGACTGTGTACGACGAGTGCAAAGGCTCGCTATAAATTATGGATGCCGTTTTGACATTTAGGAAAAGTGTGCAATTTAAAAACCAGCATGAATCGCCTCTGTGCTGAAACTGAAATCTGCCACTCTCTTGTTTCTTTGTCTTTTTCAGACGGCTGTTGATTTATAGATGCAGTGTGATCTCAGCATGTTCCTTTGGTGCACGTTTCGAATTTATGACGCCGACCCCGCCAGTGAATCACAGACACACTCATATGGGCCAATTCCCACCTGCAGCCATTCGACGCACAAAACACACGCAACGCCGGCAGTTTCCAAAGGTTTCGACGTTATTTTTATCCACAATGAGTTTCTTGGGAAATCAAGGCCTCCCGTATGAACCTTTAACGACTGTGGAGGAACAAAAGACAAATGCACCATGAAATAAATGCATGTGGCGATTATAAAATAACTCAAAAACTAAAAAGATAAAAAGGAAGCTACATCTCATGCATATTCCTAACGCAATAGATAACTGGCCTGTATAGGTATGCTGTTGTATACTGTTGCTGTTTTAGTTAATTGCTTGTAATCACTCGTCTCTCTAATTAATATGCTAATTCCAGTGAATGCAGCTGTTCTTTAGCTAAGCGCACACTCATTCTCACTGATTGGATCCTTATACAAAGACACCCTCATTAGCAAATCCATTGCTGTTACTTAAAAGTAGGTTAAAGGGATAGATCGCCCAAAAATGAAAATTCTGTCATTTTCTCAGCCTCATGTCACTTGTGTGAGTTTTTCTTCTCTTGAACACAAAAGAAGATATTTTGGAGAATGTTGGTAACCAAACAGTTGACGGTAGCCATTGACTTCCATTGTATTTTTTTTTTTCCATACTATGAAAGTCAATGGGTACCGTCAACTGTTTGGTTACCAATATTCTTCAAAATATATTCTACGGTACTCAACAGAAGAAAGAAACTCAGGTTTGAAATTACATGAGGGTGAGTAAATGATAACAGACTTTTCATTTTTGGGTGATCTGTCCCTTTAAGAGAAACTTTCGACTATATGAAAGTGTGCGTCTGGGGGATTTGTTTTTTTGAGTACCCTATATTATGGACGTCGCATAAAAAGCCTGCGTGGGTGTTCTGCGTCCAACATTAAAGCTCTAATCCGTCCATTTTCCCCGCGTATGCGGACTTACTTTCCCACACACGCCGGTCAAGAGCGGTAGCTGTGTAACAAGCCTCTGGTTGCCATGACGATGAGATCAGAAGTCTGTAGACGTTAAGACCCCGCTTGCCCACTATGACCAGTAAACCCCATTCAGGTAGCAGCAATTATCCAGTGGGGCCTCAAGCGGACTGTGTGTGTGTGTGTGTGTTACAGGCATGATGTCATCAGCAAACTTTTGTCTCTGGTCTTTTTGTTTGCCCCCACCCACGTTCCCGTCCTCTCCTGTCCTCCTCTTTTTGTTTCCTCCTTCCGTTTTTTCTCTCTCTCAGTACGAGTGCCCTGCGCCGCTGTGACTCAATTCAACACAGCCGCCCCCTCTCTTTCTCTTCCTCCTTGTGTCTCTCTTCATCTCTGATATGGGTCAGTGATGGGGCGCCCTGGGATGCGCCTGATCAGAAAGCATACTTAAGGACCCGCAAGCACTTTGACGAGCCACGGAGAACGTTACTGAAGGAGCACAACAGCAGGGCTACAAAAAAAAAAAAAAAACATCAACATAGCAAAAAAAATTTTTTGTAATGATAAAGTATAATATTTTCAATTGTAATTTTAACTTTATTAAAAAACTTTTTTATATATAAATTGCACTACCCATATTCCTTATAGGTAATATATTATTACCTAAAAATTGGGTTCCATGAGATTTTTAAATGTTTTCATAAAAAGTCTCTTTTGCTCACCAAAGCTGCACTTATTTGATAAAAATACAGTAAAATATGTAATATTGTGAAATATTATTACTGTTTAAAATAACTGTTTTCTATGTGAATATACTTTAAAATATCATTTATTTCTGTGATACAGAGCTGAATTTTCAGCATCATTACTCCAGTCTTCAGTGTCACATGATCCTTCAGAAATCATTCTAATATGCTGATTTGCTGCTCAATATTTTGTGGAAACAGTGCTACATTTTTTCAGGATTCTTTATTGAATAAAAAGTTCAAAAGAACAGCATTTATTTGAAACAGAATTTTTGTAATTTTATACAGTAAATGTTATTACTGTCACTTTTGTTCAATTAAATGCATCCTTGCTGAATAATGAATGCTTTCTGACCCCAAAATTTGTAAATGATTTATTACTATTAATATTTTATTATTTATTGCATACTTTGTTTTGTTTATATTATTTATTTGCTTACTTGTTTATCTTTCAGTATTTTTTTCTCACTACTATATATCATGTATAATGTATTTGTGTATGTGTGTGTGTGTTCCCTTCAGTGCTTTTCAACAGTACTGGTCTGTTGCTCAATCTATAGCGCCATGTCAAAGAAATTACATTTGTATCCGGTCTAATCTTGCAGTCTGAACTGAACATGAGGAGGAAAAACTATGCATCACAAAACCATGGGAAGGAAACTATTGAGTTGCTGCATGTAGCGAGACCAGTGCAGACCGATTCACAAGCAAATGACTCGTATGATATCATTATTTTAACTGAATCATTCAAAAACTCTATGTTGTTCTCTTACAGTATCAAAAACTCTAAGTAATCATTACTTTTAGTGAATTTCATCTAACAACAATGAAGCTAGTTTTGTGAATTTAAGGTTTGTGAAACTTAAATCACTGTCTTTACTTGTAGTTAGAGACTGCAGAAGTGGTTGGATCAAAGAACATTTATAAAGCGCCTGCTAAAACGAATGATTTTGTGTGTTGCAGGTCTGATTACCACAACCTCTCGGAAACTGGATCGTGAACAACAGGCTGAGCACGTACTGGAGGTGAGACACACTCATGCAAACCCACATTGACACATATAGCTCCGTTCACACAAACACACATCAGGTGTGAGAGCTGCGAGCCATGCTAATTTGCACTGCCTCCAAATTGCAGATCAATTTTGTGAGGGACGGGAGAATTACGACAATTTTCACTTCATATGAACGCAACATTATCAACGTGTTGATAGACACCTGTTTGAAATTCAAAATGCTTGCTCTGCTAGTATGTTTAAGTGCGAAAGTCAATGTTTCGAGTGGGTTTTTTGTGTTTCAAATAAAAGCGATTTGTCGTGTTGATCTTTTGAGAACGAACTTGTCACTCATGTTATGTTACCCGTTCACCGTGTGATCCCTTGACACCCAAACATTCCACAGACCAAACGCCCCTTTAATTTATTACAACCCCCCTCTTTTTTCTCATTTATTGCTCCCTCTTTCTTTCTCTCAGACAGACATATTGAATTTGTACAGGCGTGGCACGGCAGTCTGTGAAAGGAAATGAATAAAGTGAATTGAATTAATCGTTCTGTTGTTGTTGCCGAGATGGATGGCGCACACAATGTCTTTTGTTTTTAATTATATCATTTAAATGTTCCACTGCACTCTTCTGATTGGCCGGCGGCCACGTGCGTCCGTGCTGATTGGTGGATGAGCGATGGGCATGTTTGCTAATGAAAAAGAAAAATGGACCGAATATCAGAAACAGGAAATGAGAGAAAAGCGGAACATGACTCATCATCACTCCATTCTACAGAGAGAAAAAATATGTAGAAGATCACTAGATCATAGAGAATCTTATTTCTCCTTTCCTGTCCATCTATAATGGGCTTTTACCATGAATAGTAGTGTTTACTAAGGCAAGCATCTCTTGTGCTGTGACTCATGCTTCGAGTTTGATCTGAACAAATCTGTAATTCGCCCCACAATTAAATGAAATGAAATTCAAATGTTTCTTGAGCAGCAAATCAGCATATTAGAATGATTTCTGAAGATTCATGTGGCACTGAAGGCACTGAGTAGTGATGCAGAAAAATCAGCTTTGCATCACAGGAATAAATTACAATTTAAAAATATATTCAAAACAGCTATTTTAAATTGTAATAATATTTCACAATATTATTGTTTTTGGCTGTATTTTTGATCAAATAAATTCAGCCTTGGTGAGCAGAAAGGACTTCTTTCAAAGACATTAGTGTTTTGAATGCAAATGTGAGTTTTATCCTCATGCTCATCACTGTTTTTGTGTCCAGGTGACTGTATCAGATGGCGGTCCTTCTCCCAGACACACCACAGTATGGGTGGTGATCCAGGTGTTGGATGTTAACGATAACAAACCAACATTTCCAGAGAAGGTGTACCAGGTCCGTTTACCCGAGCGCACCCGTAAACAGCGAGGCGCTCCTATTTATCGGGTGTTCGCCTACGACCAAGACCAGGGCGCCAACGCTGAACTCTCCTACAGCATCGTCGATGGCAACGAGGATGGGAAGTTCGTAATCGATGCCAAAACCGGTGTGGTTTCATCACCCAAGAAACAGTTCACAGCTGGAACCTATGATATTCTTACCGTGAGTCACCTTTGGCCCTTGAGCTTCTAAATTAAGTTAATCTCACGCATGCATGTGATTATAAAATGAAATACAGTGTTTTATATTATGTGACTAAAATAAAATAAAAGAATAATAAAACAAAACAAAAAAGAATAAAATAATAATAAAACAAAATAAAATAAAAAAGAATAATAAAACAGACAAAATAAAATATCAAATATAATAATAAAATAAAGAATAATAAAATAAAACAGAAAATAAAATAAAAATATAAATAAATAAACAAACAAACAAGCAAGCATGCTTGGTAGACCATCTTGGCCATGTTTAGAGCTGTTTAGACCACTTTGTTCATGCTCCAAATACCTGACATGTTCCATAAACATGCCAATTTTTCCCCCACCTAATTGGAATTATATAAATCATCCATATTTGATATTAGGACAAGAAATAGTCTCACCAGGTTTAACCAGAAGTGTAAACTCATAAAGAATCATTTCCAGGTCTTAGAAAACTCCCTTGACATATATAGCAGCTCAATTCTCTTAATGAGGGAGTTGACATTTTAAATGTCTTTTTCTTGTAAAAGGTTCTTTCACTGGATGCATTCTTCCATTTCAGTTCAGCCCTTTTAATGCCTGGTGTTCTTGTCTTCCTGATGTGCGTTTAACTTCTGACCGCAGGTGAAGGCAGTGGATAATGGACGTCCTCAGCGCTGGGCGACGGCTCGTTTGCACATCGAGTGGATCCGCCGTCCTCCGGCCAGCCCTGTTCCTCTCGCCTTCGACGAGCAGCTTTACAATTTCACCATCATGGAAACTGACAAAGTGGCGGACATCGTAGGCGTGGTCTCCGCCCAACAGCAAGGCTCCGCCTCCTTATGGTTTGACATCACAGGTGAGTGCTTGGATGCTTTATGTTAATGTGATGATCTATGCAATTTAGAGATGACTTTAGCTGCAGGATAGACATGCAAGTGGATTTTTAGCATTTAGTGAAGGATTGAAAATAAATGCCAGGGGTTGGGATTTATTGTAACAATGTTTGAAATTGTAAATCTTTTTTACATTTTAAAAATTCTCACACACACACTTTAAGTATATATATATATATATATATATATATATATAATTGGATTTTATAATGATAGGTTTGGCTTTTACAGATTAATTAGGCCAAATATTTGCATATTATGGTTTAGAGTTGGTGGGAATGTTTGTAGTTCACTGCATGATTTGTGGCGTTGTATTGCTGTAATTTGCCATTCCACGGTCACCATGGAGATTGCTTGCCGCTGTCTGTATCTATGGTGATGTAAGGTTTGTATAACCTTACACAAACAAATTACTTAAGCCCCATTCACACCAAGAACGATAACTATAAAGATAACGATATTAGCGTCCAAACCAGCAAACGATATCGTCTGTTTATTCTAAGCGCACGCTCGTCTGCCGCTTTAAATTCTCGAGCTCGTTACAGCAGGATGGATTCTGATTGGCTGTCAATTTTATATCGTTCATCAGCTGGAGAAAAATCATTTTGAAAGTGATTCCAACGATATCGTTTCTCTTTGTCTTTATCGTTATAGTTGTGGTGTGAACTATATCTTTATCGTTATCTTTATAGTTATCGTCCTTGGTGTGAACGGGCCTTAATACATTTTAAATAATTGATCATAAAACAAACCTAAATTAATTATTATATTATATTATATTATATTATATTATATTATTAAAACAAAAACCGAATATCAACTGCAAAAAACACATACTAATTAGGGCTGCACGATATATCGTTTCAGCATCGATATCGCAATGTGCGCATCCACGATAGTCACATCACAGGATGTGCGATGTTTAGTATACTGATCGTTATATTTATACTG